AATTGTTAAGTTAAAATTAAAAATAATATATTTGCATGCAACGTTGCTCCTATTAAAATTTAATCACTATACTATATAAGTTTACTAATTCTTAGACATAATGGGCATAAATGTGTACTAACCCGGGAAATTTGAATTTTAATTAGATTGAAAAGAGAACAGCGATTGTGATTTATGTAATATTTATATTTACTGACAAAATTATTGAAATTATGTAGTTAAGGCACTAGTATATTATTTTAAGAAATAGTTTCATTTTGAGCAATTCCATAATCTCCTACAATTGATGTTTTATAGTTCTCGATCGATTTTTTCATTAACTATTGTAATTGGCATTAAATTCATAAAATTATTGATTTCCACATTTTTTATACTAGTTAAGCATTATTAGGTCTTCCATAAATTAATTTAATTTAGTTCTATTGTAATTTTTATATAATTCATTTTCTTTATATATGTTAAGGATAGATATACCATGATTATATATTGACATTATTCTTAATTTTAGATTATATATTAAAACTGTCATTATATTAGATATTGAAGGAGCTATGAGATATTGTAATAGCTTATTAATCTTATATATAAGCCATTTATTTCAGTACTAACAATAAAACATTTAAAATATAAGGCCCTGTAGTGCTCCCTGCTAACAATGAAACACATTAGAGAAATCAAAACAATAGTATATAGTTATTGCGAATTAATATATCTGTTATTAGAATAAGTGATCATATAATTACAAAGTATTCTATATAAAAAAATATCTATATCAGTCACTAAAACATTACAAGTAAAATTTTCTAACTGACGAATATATAGATATAATTATTTTTATGTAAGAAGATTATTAATGTTGTTTTTATAATTGGACTAAATTGCTTGCACTACTTATATAAAATGTAATTTGAAAACTTAGATACTTTTATGCATGCACAAAAATGTTAAAAAAATATAAAAAAATGTTAGATATGTAGAATAATAATTATAATCAATTTATAAAATAAAAATGAGCATCCCAAAAACGTAAAATTGTGTTTTGATTACGCAGCTTAGATTAAGAAGTTTAATTTAAATTGTAAGAAATCTATGAGAGGATTTTTTTTTTAAATCTTACTTAAACTTAAAATATAGATAGTCAACAAACGGACAATTAATACATAATTTAGTAAAGGTACATTTAAAAATTTATCTCTGGCCCATATCAATGTTAATTTGTACTTTACACTACGCTACGATCTTAATCAAATTTATTAAATTAAAGTAAATTTATAAATTAATTTATATATTTAATGTCATTTTTAAAATGACAGCTACAAGCCAAATTATTTTTATTTTTTTATTATTTTTTTCTGATTTTATTGTTTTAAATTTTGTTGTACCATTTTGAATTCAAAATTATTCCGATATAGATTTATTTCTATTATATTTAATACTTTTGTTAGATTATATTCAATGTATGCAAATAATTAAACAAAAGAAATGCATTTTACATAATAGTTTCGTGAAAATGACATTTAAAAAATTCTTCAAAATTAAAAGTACACGCTCCACTGCATTTTGTAAAACTAAGTAGAAAATATTCATGAGTGAAAAAGCACATTTGAATCCTATCTGTTGGTAAAGTATAAAATATTCTTCTGTTTAGATTTGAACGACTAAATTAAAAAATTATTAGTAAAAACGGATAATATGAAAGATTTGGAAAAATTTAAAGTTCATTTGCAATAAGCTTTGAATGCGTATCACATGAAATTCTGTTTAAAATTTGTTAACTACACTAATTTACAAGGACTTGTGTATAAGTTATTTTATTAATAAAAGGTAATAGAAGAACTTAGTGTTGTTGCTGAGCATGCTAAATCTATAAAAACTATTTTTTATTTATTGGTTTATTGGCTTTTTTTATGGCAACATTAATATCAGTGGTGTTGTGGCAGGTCGTCCCGGTACTTCCTCTTAAGACAGGAACGGCCTAAGGTATATATATATACGCGTTCCGGTGAAATAATAGGACAACACCACTGATTATTATTAATGTAAATATTTTATTTCATTTTTATATTTTGATTTAAAACCAAAATGGTGTAAATAGGTCAGTTATTATGTTAATTTGAGTGCACCATGCAAGAGAAGTCATGTCATCCACTAGACGGGCGTCAATACCGTTCTACCCTTCCGCGGAGCATGAAGTCAAATTACAGGTATCACACTAAAATATATATATATATATATATGACATGATTTTTGGATACTAGGGATGAAAATAAGATACTTTGCCGAAGAAACCGTATTTCTAAAATGAATTCTGATGACGTATGCATTGACCCAAAGATTGGGGGTCAAATTTTGAAAAAGCCTGCTATAGCCTTTTTAGATTTTTGTGGGTAAAATTAATCGATATTTACTGCATTTGCTACGTAGTTGTTCTTATGGGAGTAATATATCTTTGCTATGGGGGTTATAATATCAACTAGGACAAAAATATTTTGGGGTGATGATTTAAAAAGTTCCCCGACCGCTGACCTAGAGGCTGTTATGGCGACGACATTAGAGAGCCGTGGGAAATTTTCCAGTCTTGAAACCAAAAAAGACTTCAAGCAATAATTTATAAGTTTTACATAGTTTTATTTACATATGTTATGATTAAATAATTTTTGTAATAAAAAATAAATCGCCTGTTTTTGTCATGTCAAGTATACCATAAATGATGCAAGTTTTGTATGGCGGACTTCTAAGGGGTGGCCCCAAGATTAACCATGGATGAATCGGTTTTCCAAAGTTAGTGGTGTTCGGTCATACATTTAGACGCGATTGGAGCACTCTAAATGGGTTAAAACGAAATTTTTCAAAATTTAACGTTTATCTTTGGGTCATTGCACGGGACATCAGAATTCATTTTAGAGGTATGGTTTCTTCAGCAAATAATCTTATTTTGATCCCCAGTATCCGAAAATCATATGTGCATAAGCGACTTTTTTTAAGCATTCAAATTGACCCTTTCTAATATATATATACATATATAATTTATATTTATATATAATATATTTAACAGGTTGATGTGTGGTGGTTTGAACGTAACTTCTCGCAAGGTCGGTACGGTCCAGATAATCGAGGGAGTAATGCGTGCACTCTTATTGCCTTGCTCTGCGCCAGGAAATGTGCAGCTGGCTGTATAAAGGTGATCCTTTTGGATTTTTAATTAAATCAATAAAGATTTAACGAAAGCCTGAGCAAACCCGATTATTTTTCGTAATTTTTGGAAAAACAAATTCAGGATTCTTTAATAATTTGTCAAATATTTAATAAACAATTTAGACTTGCTGCGGCCCACAATCACAGCCAGTGTGGGAGTATCAGATCTATTTTATTATATGTATATATATAGTGTGTGTGTGTTTATATTTATTTACTAATTTACAATTTAAAGTTTTATGTTAAATCATGAAAAAATATTAAATTAAATTATCAAATGTGGTTTAACACAAAAATAATATAATTCTGCAATAATGGTTTAACTTAAACTTTCCTTATCTACAACATTATCAGTTTTTTTAAACACATTTTTCATTCAGTACCAGTAGCTTTTTTCTAGTAAAGTTACTCCATGTATAAAATATGCAATATTATTATCTAATTTTTTATATCTATACTTCAACATTTTAATAGATGTATGCAGATTGCAATTTAAACCCAGTACTAGTCCTTGCATTAGCAGAAGCAATATTGGAGGGAAACGACATACATCGAGAACTGCTGACTTCTGGTGCTATCACTCATGTAAATCTCACCATTCCAGAAGCTCTGGAAGGCGCTGCAGATTCTTTAGTTGGACTTACAGAATGGGTATAGAACTATATATATATATTATTTTATACGATCATGCAATTGAATCTGTTTAAACTAAAATTAAACATGATAAATTTATAAAACAAGATTTCAAATTCCACATTTCTTTCTTCAGTTATCAACTGGATAAATTTTATGACCTCTTTTTACAGAAATCATTGATTTACTTACTGGATTTGGGCGATACTTTATATGACCAAATGAAAGCAGGCTTGCGCTCCTGGTGGGGAACATCATTGGGAAGAACGTTAGATTATGTGTTTGTGGTTCTCATATGTGACAATAGATCGATATTATTTGTATTTCAAAGAACACTTGAAAAGGTATTAATGGCTTAATTTTTGGTCCTAGTATAATACAATAATAATTTTGATGTTATAGGCTACATTGATCGATTCACATAGACATCTAGATCATGGTTGTGTCATAGCACAAGTACCAATAATGAATTTACATCATTTATGTTTTTGGCATAAAAACATGTTAAAGCACTGTTACGGGTCTAAACCTGATTGCTATGAATTGTCATTCTTGTACATGAAACCAGGAAAATGCGCCAAAGGATCAAGTCGTATTGGCAATGCCTTTAAACATCACGAAGTGCAGGGAAATAAACAACTTCGCCAAAATAAGCTCAACCATAAATACAAATTTAGAAAAAAGTATAAAAGGCGATAAAAATTCTATGTTGAAATTGATTAATCATATTGTGTATTCACTCATGTGCTGTGCTGTCTTGTAATGTGATAATAGTTGAATTTTACAAATATATTTTTACAATTACTTATTACTTATATTTATTTATACCTTTTTTTTGCCTTTTTTAAAATCACGACTAGGATTAATTAATTTAGTTTACATTCTTATAGGCTTTCCTGATAAATATATTTATATGTGTAAAAATTATATATAATATTATATTTTAATTAAAACTAACGATATATTGAAATGATCTTCAAACAGTTTTTTTTTTTGTTTCTTTCATGCTTATTTCCTACCGTTATGCTTATTTATCTATGCTTACTTCCTTACCCTATGTTTACATATCTATGCTTTTTCTTCCGATCTAAACTTTCAACCGGGCTAATCTATCTATGATTCGCTTATCTATGGACATGGATATTATTTCTCATCTGGTAACTCTCACTGTCTACAACATCCGCTGATTGAAGACATTCCGCCATTGCGTTTTCGGACCTTGAATAGATTATTTACTTTGGTGAGTTGTTTGGAAATCTTAAATTATAGTAATAATCCTATTTTCCCAATATTTGTTATATTGCAAAAAGTTCATAAAATTTTATTATTCTATCAATTACTGGTGAATTATGGAGTTTACTCTTATTATGTACACGTTTTTGACATATTTCTTTAACCTCTTTTCAGTCCTTAAATTTCAAAGAAGTCCCTACGCGCACGAAGATGGGTAGGGAGGACAAAGCCACCTGGAAGTCAAACTACTTTACTAAGCTCGTCGTAAGTAATACAAAGTGAATGTCAATAGTGAATAACCAAGTAAAAAGATGACACAATATAAATTAACTTTTGCAGCAATTGTTGGATGAATACCCAAAATGTTTTATTGTGGGAGCCGACAATGTGGGTTCCAAGCAAATGCAACAAATTCGTATGTCTTTGCGTGGAAGCGCCGTTGTCCTTATGGGCAAAAACACCATGATGCGAAAAGCTATCAAAGGTCATGTTGAGAATAATCAGGCTCTTGAAAAGCTTCTTCCTCACATTCGTGGAAATGTAGGATTTGTATTCACCCGTGGAGATCTTGTTGATGTAAGTAATTATTTTAGTTTGTTTTATATTGATATTAATACTCAATAATAATTGAAAACTTAATTTTAGATTCGTGATAAATTGTTGGAAAACAAAGTGCGTGCTCCAGCTCGTGCTGGTGCCATTGCTCCATTGTCTGTTATTATTCCAGCTCAAAATACTGGTCTAGGACCCGAAAAGACATCTTTCTTCCAAGCTCTGTCCATCCCAACAAAAATTTCAAAAGGTAAATATTTTATATAAATAATCCATTACATACAATAACAAATGATGTTACACTTTCCGTCTGAAAACGGACCTAGCTGAACTAGTGCTAGAGTATAGCAGAACCCTCTAGTTTATGGACCGTTACAGTTGAAAAATGCCTTGTGCTGTCTGAATGTCCAAAAAATACTTTCAATTTGCTGAATTGTTTTTTGTTGTTTTCTAAAAATATTGCTTTCCCCAGGTACTATTGAAATCATCAATGATGTCCATATCTTAAAACCTGGTGATAAAGTTGGTGCTTCAGAAGCTACTTTGCTTAACATGTTGAACATTTCTCCCTTTTCATATGGTCTTTTGGTTGAACAGGTAAATATTGATAATTTATCAAGAATTGAGTTTTATTCATAAAACTTCACATTAGCTTATCTGTAAATTTGCTATTATAGTAAATTGTCTTAATTTGTTTGCATTTTAATTATCTTTTTTTTTACAGGTTTATGATTCTGGAACTATCTTTGCTCCTGAAATCTTAGACATCAAGCCTGAAGATTTGCGTGCTAAGTTCCAAGCTGGAGTTGCCAATTTGGCTTCAGTTTGTTTGTCTATTGGTTATCCAACTATTGCTTCTGCTCCACACAGCTTGGCTAATGGTTTCAAGAACTTGTTGGCCATTGCAGCCACTACTGAAGTTGAATTCAAAGAAGCTACCACAATTAAGGAATACATTAAGGTAATTTGTTTAAACATCAAATTACACATATTTACTATAAAATTTCTAACATAATTTTACACTACATGCCAAAATTGGCATGTAATGCCTGATATTTAATAAAATACTACAAAATGATGTTAAAACCTTGCCGAAGTTAATCAATGATGGCAACATGTTTCAAGACGGGACTGATACTTTTAGATCATCAATAGTATTATATATGTTTAAACTTAGTTTAATTTGCAATTATTATTCTTGCAGGATCCCAGCAAGTTTGCTGCTGCTACTGCTGCCGCTCCAGCTGCTGCTGCTGCAGCACCTGCTGAATCCAAGAAAGAAGAAAAGAAAGAGGAATCTGAGTCTGAAGATGATGACATGGGTTTCGGTCTCTTTGATTAAGAACTTGTTCCACAATATTAACATTTTGGGAAATCCATATTTATATGAATATTTACATATTCAAGTCTGTTTGTGATTATTATCTGTAAATACTTGTCTGAACTTTGCGCAGTTCTGTGGCAATTTACAAGATTTTATTTGTAAGCATAACTTTGTATAATAAAATATGGATGAGGATAAACTTGTGTTCTTTTATTTACAATAAAAACAATATATTCTACAGTACTTAAAATTATTTGTCAATCTTATTTCTTCATTTATTTTTTTATTCAATTATTAAATTCTCAAATTATATCTTCATACAAAATTTTTAACAATATATTAAATTAAAACATAAATTGGTCTTCATAATTGTTTACTGTAATTTCTCAAAAATATATTTTTAGTGTTGCCATATTTACATACAAGTGCTTTTGTCAAGAATCGTTCGTCTGTTGGCTTTCTCCCAATGTCTAATGACCATTAAATAATATTTGTGTAGGGCTATTCATCGAAGTGCAACGCAAATCTCATATTTTTTATGATTTTTGTAGTGCAAAGAACAAATTATTAGTGTTGTTGTTATGTTAATATAATATTGCCGTACCTTTTTAGGTTATGATAAAATTGCAGCATTTTTGTGCATATGTGCATGTTCATCGCATAATTTCAATGCAAATAACATTTTTAAATTAATATTCTGGCTTTAGTTGGTCACAAAAATGGTGAGTTTTTGCATATTAATTATTATTTTTGGTTGCATTTTTTTTTTCATTGTAACAGATCTACTACATTGTGATTCTTATCTGTCACAATTTGTCTCTTGCGCGTAATATATTATTTTTGCAACTTCTATATAATATATTCACATTTTTATTATTTCATGCACATTATTTTATAAATATTTATATATTTTTAGCACAAACTGAAATCTTCACAACGGGACAAAGTTAAAAAATTTATACAGTTGACACAAACTAGTGAAAATACAGCTATTTATTGTCTTACACATAATGATTGGAAATTAGATATTGCCAGTGATAACTATTTTCAAAATCCAGATGCTTATTATAAAGAACCTAAAGTAGTTATAGATAGAAAAAAATTAGAAGCTCTATTTCAACGGTATCGGGACCCTATTGAAAATGACAAAATATCAGCAGATGGAATAATGAAATTTTTGGATGATTTATGTCTTAGTCCAGAATCTAAATTAGTTTTAATAATAGCTTGGAAATTTAAAGCAGAGACACAATGTGAATTCTCTAGGGATGAGTTCATAAACGGTATGATGGATTTGGGTGTTGACAGCATAGATAAATTAAAAGCAAAATTACCATTATTAGAAAATGAACTCAAAGATATAATGAAATTTAAAGAGTTCTATCATTTTACTTTTAATTATGCAAAAGACCCCGGACAAAAGGGCATTGATTTGGATATGGCAATAGCATATTGGAATATTGTATTAGCTGGTAGATTTAAATTCCTGGAATTATGGTGTAAATTTTTACAGGTATGTATGAAGATTAACTATAGTTTTTTTAAATCACATTCAGAATCTCCTATTTAAAATTAGACAACTACATATTTCTACGATTTAAATTTTTTTTTGATAAATGTGAATATATCGTACTGCACTCTCTTCAATATTAATGTAATTTAGTAACTTATCTAAATTTATTTTTATTTTACCTTTGAATTAATGTTGAATTATAAACTTGTACTTCAAAACAAATACCTACTTTATTTCAGAAATAATCAGTTGAAAATTTATGTCTATTAACAAATGTATGAAATGATACATCATATTTTATCATATTAATATTTCAATTATTTATTTATTAGGAACATCATAAACGCTCCATACCAAAAGACACTTGGAATTTGCTATTAGATTTTGCTTCACATATAGATGAAGATATGTCAAATTATGATGCAGAAGGTGCATGGCCGGTATTAATTGATGATTTTGTTGAATGGTGTTTGCAAACTAAAAGTGGTCGAGACCGAAATTGTGATCAAGAGCCTCATAGCACCGGCCTTCATTATGGGTAGCAGGTCATAAAAGTAGAGAAATGACCTTAGTAAAGATCATAAACCTTGCAATAATTTATTATTTCTTCGTTATTTTTATATTTAAATTATTATTTTTATAATGTTAGAATATTATATGTAAATAACATGAAGCTCTGTTTGTTTTTTATTTTAAAAAGATATACACTTCATTATGAACCAATCATTAAATCAGGGATTCAAAATTCATGTTTCATTTCAGTGGAATCACTTTACATAACACAATAGTTCTTTTGGATATTTTGAAAATAGTTTTTAATCCATAAAAAAAAAATGCTTTGATTTTCAGACAGTTTTTTGGTCAAATTATCAAATAGCAAGGTGATGTATTTGTTATGATCCAATCCTATAAATCCTTCTTGAATAATTCAAGTCCTGTTTGTAGAATATATGTTATGTGGATAACATTTATGAATTGTATTTTTGATTTGAGAGAATTTATAACAATATATAAATATAAATCTTCTTTCCCAATAGTGATATGTGGCATTGTACATTTTAATGTTTTAGAAATAGCAGAAAATAACTGTAAATAATAAAAATTATTTAGAAATTAATTATTTGTATTTTTAATTCTTAAATGGAATTTACTGGTAGTATAATTAATTGTTAACAATTATTTTTACAGTTTTATTTAAAAGATGTGCCATAGATGAGAAAATGTTATTAACAATAAATGCATTTGTAAATCATCCTTAAAAAACTGTGTGAAATTAAGCACCAATTGGATACAAATCATTTAATGTTATATATTACAATATTGGGGATTGGGATGACCGACTATCCATTATTACTTCAACTTAGCAAATAATACATTGATTTTCAATTTACATAGCTACCAATAGCTACTCAAAATTTTCTTCAAATAATTCTGTATATGGTTACATATATGAACTTGTATATGTATGTATCACTATGGTGACATATTGATATAATAATAATTCAAGAGTAGAGACAGTAGAACAATTTTGATAAGTTCATTAGTTTTAATATAATAAACACATTAACATTATTTCAATTAAAGAATCACTATGTCAGAAAAATTCAACTCGTTTGAATCTGCAGCATTCACGTGTATTTTGTTTCAAGCATCTAATTCACTAGGATTATTGCGTACTGCATCCGGTGAATCAGGAATACCAAGTCCTGGACCTGATCAAGGAATGAGCCTGAAAGATCGTGTTCACAGAGATATAAAACGGCCTACAGTTATGGAAGAAAGGAGTGTCTATGGACATAGTTATTTATCGAAATTGCTGAAGCTTTACAGAGACCGGTGAGTATATGTAGAAATAATTTGAAATAATAAATTCTTCGAGTTTATTTATCTATATTTATCAATTTAAAAACAGATTTTACTTACACCGCGTACTCAATCAAGTACTAGAGGAAGTGACTTCTGAAAATTCAGCTTCATCACTAAACAATGCAATAAAAGAAGCGGTAGATAAAGATATAGAAGAGCAGTCATTACTTTCAGAAGCAGCAAATTCGACGCAGAAGCTACGCACAATTACTGCCCAACTGGAGCACGATAAAGCCCAGAGCAGATTTCGTTTGGGAAGAGCGCACGTTGAAATTAGTAATTTAGAACATAAATCCTATGCAAGTATAATATGATTTATTCATATATTTTTGTTATTATTCATTGTAGTAAATCGACCATATATTGCTATACTTTTTCAAATTTTGGCATAACATTCTTTATTAAGCATCGATTTCAGCGTTAGGAAACCATTCGATGTTTATTAAGAAACTTGTTTCATTAATTTTTTAACATTTAAAAATATTATTTATTTTCAGGATTCAAAATTACTGAGTGATATTAAATGCAATTTAGTATCACGTTGGGAACAATCTCGCCGGGAGCAACTGCAGCTATGCAGGCAGCAAGAAGAAGCAGCAATCAGGATGAAGAAAAGTGAATTAGATGTTAATTCTTTACAAGAAAAGCGGATTCATGCAGAGAAAACGGCTTTCTTCGAACGTATTATTACGGTAAAAATATAATAATAATAACATAAGCTTAGTTACAATGTTAGTCATATTATATACCCCAAGGAATGGTTCAAAACTTGTTTATTTTGTCTAAAATCTTCTATTAACATCCCGATGGGGAAATTATAGTAATCGCAAAAAAATTGAAAATGAAAATTTTTATATATCTTTACGTTTCAAAGGTTTTTTAACATTTTGGCATACCTTAGAAAAAATGTTTAAAAGTGTGTGTGTATATGTGTGAGTGTGTGTGTGTGTGCTGCGCGGATACAAATTTTCGTCGACGATTTCGGGAACGCCGATCAACCGATTTGAATAATTCATAAAACATTCGATTCGTATTGATAAGGAGACATGCTCATTAGTTTTTGGCAAAGGCAGGTCTAGCCGTTCCGAAGATACGGGGCAAAAAGTGCCAAAAACGGTAATTCAGTTTTTAAGAGAACAGAGCGTCCGATTTTAATAATTTAAAAAACATTTTACTTGTATTGACAAGATGAAGAACTGATTAAATTTTTGGGAAGGCAGGTTCAGCGGTTATGGACTCTCAATAAAAATACGTTAAAAAAATGTCATTTGGCGGTGAAAAATGTTTATTGGACATATGTACATCAAATTATCAAATATTTTATAGAGATTTCAATAATATGTACACGTTTTGTGTAAATTTTTTGGGTTCCGTACCAAGAATTTTAATTACGGTACGGAAAGTTCCAGCAATTTGCCTTAAGGCACCCCACTAGTTATTGTCTTTGTTTTAGCAATATAAAGAATTAACCCATGTTTGGGAGGAGTGTCACGCAGCAGACACCAAAAAGCGCGACGCCGAATTGCGTAGCGCCAACGCTAGGTTACGTGAATTGCGTAATTCAGCAGAGGAACTACGCACCATTTTACAGGGAAGAAATCAAGAAATGACGGATTATATTGAACAACGCGATGCAAAACGTCGAGAAGAGGAAAATGCTTCGCGAAATGAATAATGCAGCTATTAAAATTCAGGTTTGCTTCAGAGGAATTATTAATTTTAGTTATATAAATTTTGCCTATTGCCAAAAATATGTTGTTAATTTGAACAGACTAGACTATAAATTATTTCAAAGACAAATGCAAGAGCTCAATATTTCTTATTGTTATTGTTGCATTTTATCTTGAACATGGTAATGCCTTATTATTCTTTTAGTTCACCTCGGAATTTGAGATACCCAGCTGTAAGTCTGTAAAAGTTGTCTCAAAACCTACATATGTTGCGTACACCCTACCGTAGGTGTTGAGACAACTTTTAGGGTACCCAGACTTACCGCTGGGTATCTCGAATTCTGAGATTCTTACCTAATTTAAGCTTAAATGACTGGACTATTTACGAAAAATGTAGATTAACTCATTTCGGTCTATGATATCTATGTACTTAGTGTGTATTTTACCAACGATTTATTAAAATTGCAGGCGTGGTGGAAAGGTACGATATTTCGTAGAGCTCTAAGAAAGGCCAAATTAAAAAGCAAAGGTATGCACTTAATATTAAAAAAGATTAATTCAATAAATATATATTACATATAGATGATAATGATAATTATTAAAATATTTATTTAGACCGAAAAGCAGCCGAAGGAAAATCAAAAAACAAATAAATCTCTGCAACGTTAAGAAATAATATAAAAAATATTTTTATTGCGTGCTTTTATCACATTTGTAAATGCCAATAAATCAACACGATTTGTGGAAACATATTTTTTAAGATATTTATGTATCAAGATATAAAATGTGAATAAACTAATATGTTTAGCAAAGTATTGGTGTTAATAGCAAAATGCTTGCGAACTGTATTCATTGATATTTAATTTTTGTGAACAGTTTCAGTTACGTGTAACAGTTATTCAATTTATAAATACCAATTTAATTTATATTATATAAATGTATATATTAATAAATATTTATAAAAACATTAGCATGTTCCAACAATGTGGCGTTTTTTTAAGTTTTATTATCAATTGACGGTGTTAGTTTAACCCTCCGTCGGTCGGCGTGGTCTGGCCAGACTTTTTTCGACCTCAATTTAAAAAAAAAACTTTTAGTAATCCTATCGACTTGAAATTTCTTGACTATTCCTAAAATTTCATTAGCTGTCGATCAATGAAAAAATCACGACGAAAAAATGTACAGAAGGATAATTATAAGGATATTAACTTTTTTATACTTCGAACGGTCGAAGTCGTCTGTCTAGCTAGACCACTTATACATTTTGTATGAAATATACGCTTTTTGATATATGTAAACCAGTATTTTGTCTTTTTGTCTGGTATTTTCTATTCAAACTGCATTTTATATATTTTTTGCTATGTGTTGTAACATGAATGTTAGTATTTTCACGACGATAGAGTTCCTTGAAAACATACAAAACTTATTGGTCATCGCAAATATTGAAAATCGGATGAGTTATGCGCACATTATCAACAATTTTTATATTTTCAACTTGAATTTTACAGCTCATTTCAAAGGCGACACACCTCACTTCGTTTTCATTTGAATTTCACATTTATTTCGAAGAAGGCGAAAAAGAATAAATATTGTTTTTCATTGATATAAAACAGAAAAATAAAAATAATACAAAAGCAACGATTTTTGTATAAATATAATATATAATTTTTTTTATTATAATTAAGCTCAACACATGCAAAAGACGGTAAATAAAGAAAAAATCTAAACTATAAATATTTACTACTAATAATCGTTAATATATAAGACACCAAAAACTCATTTATCCCATATAAATGCATGTAAAATTAATGGTGGTCCAGCCAGACCACTCCGACCGTTCGAAGGTGAAAAAATATCCGACCGACGGAGGGTTAAAGCTAAATGTTGCACTGAGCTGTTCTCAATTTAATATTCTTTACTTCTTGTACTATTTAATATTCTTAATAAATATATAATTATTCAATATTTTAACTAAAACCACCCATCTCAGTAGTAAAAGAATTACCTAAGATGGCGCAATAATTAGCAAGATGACCACGCGGTATATTACAATCAAAATTATTATTCAAAAATAATTAATTTAAGATAAAATATTTTATTTTAAAATTATTAAAGTTTTCTGATAATTCTATAATATATTTTCAGTTCAAAAATAGCGATATTTTTATAAATTGCAGTCAAAATCGGTCACATTTGTCCTTATTTTTAAATCCATCGCACGTTCGGCTTTTCTCGGCGCGAGTTCCGTCGTCGCCCGAGGATCCGTTGAATCCGAAGTATAGACTCGGTACGCGCAGCTGGCCATAATCCCGTGCGCAGTTTAGTCCATTTTTGACAGTCGGGTAACATGGTCGTTTTGAGTTTCATTTTACAATAAAGTTTATTATTAACTATATAATAATATTGGAATAAATTTTTAATTGAATTGTGTTTTATTTTTTATTAGCTTAAGACTAACGTTCATAAAATGGTTGAACAAATGATGTTTTGCAAACTTTTAGTGATTAGTGTTTGTATTAGTTTTGTATTGAGTGCTAATTTGTATAATTTAGATAGGACAGAAGAATGTGCTAAAGCTACAGCACTTCTTCATGCCATGCACATAGTGCCGGATAATGAAAATAATAACAAAGGTAATTTGCATGGATTTTTAATTTATTAAATAAGCTTTTAACGTCTTTAAAGCTATTATATGTTACATCATTTTTTCATATTTTTTATTTTATCGAGTCGGGTTTTTATTAAATTCAAAAATTAGTTCATAATACACATGTATTTCCGGTTTATTTTCACGATTTACCAACTTCATTAACTAAAACTTTTGACATTTGTAAATTTCATCTGCATAATTCTGGATACTTCAATATTTAATTATTATTACTAATTATTTTTATTTTTTAATAATTATATAAATTCATATTGATTGTAACTCTAGCCGAATAATATAAAAGTCAGTCAGTTCACAATTTTATAGCGGTTGATACTTTTATTACGCTATTATCTTTATTTGCGTAAATAAAATTCAAAGTATTTTAACAAGTCATATCAAAAGTGTATAAAATTGTATTTTATTATTTTAAATCTTAGTTTAAATTTTTTGCGTGATATTATTATTAATAATTTTAATCATTGGTCGTTGATTATAACGTGAGTCCAATGAAATCAAAGTGTTCACATATTTTCCAATAGGTTATTTAATATTCTTAAACTCTTGTCATGTTATAGTAATAGTATATAATATAATATTTATACTATAAATAAGTTTTCGTTAAATTTATTAACTTATAAAGTGAGTCCGATCAAATCAAAGTTTTCACATATTTTCCAATATGTTATTTAATATTTTTAAACCTTGTCATGTTATGATAATTGGCTCTATTTATACTATAAATAAGTTTTCGTTAAATTTACTAACTTATTTTTGCTCCACTGAAATAAATATTTGTAGAAATATTCTTTTTTAATTTTTAGTTTTCTGCTCATTTGTTGTAAAAATCTTTACTTCCCATGACTTTTACATATTTATTATTAATTTCATGAATATTAATGGATGCTCGACTCGATTTTTTAAAATTGTGAATAGAAATTATATAGAATAGTTTTCCAACGAATTAATAATCGTTTACAACGGACACCTGTCATACGCGAGCCAGCTGATATCTTGTAAAAAGTGTTTGAACATTTTTTCTTTTACACATTTTTACAAAATTAGTTTTAATTTGGGATATTCAGGAAGAATAATTTCAATTTGTTTATTATTATATGATCACATGATTATCATGAAAGAAATTGCAATACACTTACCTAATTCTTAACTTCATATGTATTTATTATGAAAATAATACAAAGGGCACAATATAAAATATTAAGATGTATTGTGGATGTACCTTGGTATGTTAAAAACGACACTCTATACAACTTGCAAATGAGAACGATTAATAAATTGATATAAAAGAAGAAAAATATATTATGAGAAACTACCAGGTCACCAGAATTAATTATTACGATTTAAAGGGAAAAGTTAAAAAAAGGAGGTATCTCATTCGAGATAAACTCCACAAAGCCACAAAGTCTAACAAAATAGTTTAAAAGGATAATATTTATTCTGAATAACTATAAATATATATGTATACCGGAAAAAAATGTATTATATATTTCCAACTTACTTAATCTTAATTTAAATACTAAAGTACGTCACAAGTGACTTTTTGTTATAAATTTGGTCAATAAAATCTAGCTTTGCTTGAACGTGCTGTAAATAATTTACATTGCTAATGAGTTTCTAATAACGCGAAGCCTGGACACAATAAATAATGGAAATATTTAATATTAAGTCTGTTGAAGTTTGAACATGTATATATATATATATATATATATATATATATATATATATATATATCATTTTGGTGATATTAACACATTGCACTCCTTTTTGCACTATTTATTAGATAATATTAATGTTATAAACGTTATTTCCAAAGTAATATTCTTTTCACCTGTAATACTGTTATGCGTTAATTCTAGCATCAAAAATAATATTTGTTTCTTTTTTATTTATTTATTTTTTAAAATATATAGCTCTCTATTTTTCCAAGAGGACTTAAAAATACAATTATTTTACATAATGGATAACAATTATATATATATATATATATATATATATACAAACTAGCAAACCGGGCGAACTCCGTTTCACCACCACATAGTTTCATTTTATGTAACATTTCGTTTGGTGATTAAAAGATGAAGAAAAAAATTGCCTGCTGTTGAAATTGAATAAAAATTTGCATAATACACTTGATTGATTTGATGGTTTCCAATTGAAGGAAATAAAAAACTTATTTTTTTTACTTTTTTGCACAATTTCACAGTGAACACAATGCCGGTTTTTCACATGAAATTAACTGAACAGAGAACAATGAGTAGTTGTCAAACAAATGAGTGCAGCCAAACAAAAAATATTAGTTTGTAGTACATGCTAAGTATCAGAGACGCGGAAAAGTGTTTTTCGCTTTTCTGTTGAAATCTTTTTTCAATTTTCTTTGCTATAAACCTCACGGAGTCCGAGACCTTTCCAACGAATGCAAAATCGTCGAAATCGGTTGGTGCGTTCTGGAGTTATATCGTCAGGAAGGAAAACCCGACTTATTTTTATATAATAGATATTATAATATGGATAAATTTCAATATTTAGTAAAATTAATAATGCGCTTAACACAAAATTACATAGTACAGAATGTAACAATTATATTTATTTACATAGAATAAGATAAAATAATAAAAGATATTTGAAAAGAAAGAAAAAGGTTAAGGAGCAGATGGAGATTATTTGATTAGGTGAAGTTTTATGAATAATTAATATCATTATTAAATAAGTTGAAGATAGAGGGCATAAGTAGAATTGGCGAATTTAAGAGAGAATTAGATTTAGGAGTAGATAATTGGAACATTAAAGGATAGTTGGTTAAGAATAAAAGGACAATAAGTATATAGCATTTTTGTAAAGTTTAAATAAGAACATAATAGTACAGATAAGTCGACGTGTGGCAAGAGAAGGTGTACCGAATTCTTTTAATAAAGTGTTGTGGTCAAAGCCACGTTCAGGGTAAATTTTGTATGTTTTATAATAAAGATATTTTCAATAATATTCCAGAGCAAATATTTAAATATTGATCAAATTAAACGATTATTATATTACAACCTCCGCTTTGAAAGCTCAAAAATTAGACATGTTTTATTTCATTTTGGTTGTAAAGTACTGAAATCTTTTATTTATTGCAATTCTTTGCATTCTTGAACATAACCCACGCGCCACCGCAAAAATCACGATTCAATGAGCACCTATTTATCATGGGTTGTTTTATTTGTCTGCAGACGTATTAATGTTATCGAGGGAGATGATTTTGTTTCCCGTACATGCTGTTCTGAGTTCAAAGCACTGCGTAACTAAATCAATACGAAAGCCTATACCAAAACCAATGTCAGTATAGTCATCTAGCTGTTTTGTCATGTTCTTCCTTTACATATATGGATATATATATATATATATATATATATATATATATATATATATATGTCTGTATAAATGTGTGTGTGAACAAAAGGGGTTGTTAAGAGTTGTGATAATACATACATCATGTTTAAAACGCCCGCGAGGCAAATTATTTTGTAATGCGATGATGAAGTTTATAAATCGGGTGATTTAGCCCTAAGCATTTGCTTATGATTTAAGTCCCTTAACGCATTTGTTTTTGATTAATGGCTAATCCTATACAGGATATTTATTCGCTTCGAATGTAGCTATCTAAGTATTCACAAATATTTTGATATATCTGATTGTTAATCACTACTACTATTATAACAGCCTAATTAACTTCCCGTGGGGCAAGTTATAGTAATCGCAAAAAAATCGAAAATGAAATTTTTTATATATCTCTACGTTTCAAAGGTTTCTGAATATTTTGGCATACCTTAGAAAAAATGGATGTATGTGTATGTGTGTGTGCGTGTGTGTGTGTGTGTACGGATACAAATTTTTGTCGACGATTTCGGGAACACCAATCAACCGATTTGAATAATTTAAAAAGCATTCAGTTCATATTAATAAGGAGACGTGCTGATTAGTTTTCTGGCGAAGGCAGGTCCAGCCGTTCCGAAGATACGGGGCAAAAAGATGAAAAATTAATCCAATTTTCATGACGGCAGGTCTAGCGGTTTCGGAGATCTAGTGAAAAAAGTAAAAAAAAAATGCCATTTGGCGGTCAAAAATGATCAGTAGACATAAGCACATCAAATTATCATATATTTTATAGAGATTTTAACAATAAATATAAATTTTGTTTACATTCCTATGGGTTTCGTACCAATGTTTATCCGTTAAACGGCGACGCGGAGCTTACGCGCTTTGACATTTCGTCTCTATGCAGTTAAAGTAGTACAATTGCTTTGAAAAAAAGTTCAGAATTTCCAAAATATGTCAAAATAAAGAAAAAAAGTAATTTTTTGTCAAATTTATAGTTTCTCAAAAATCTAATTTTTTTAAGTAAATTTTTTTCAACAATGTTAATCTTTTTAAAAAAAAAAATAATTTTTGGTACGGGAAGTTCCAGCAATTTGCCTTAAGGCACGATGCCATGCGCCCCACTAGTTTGTCTCGATTTGAAATTACCTATTATAAGTCACATATTGTCATATTGGCTATTTTCCACTTATTGGAGGGCATCAAATAAATAATCTCATCCATAATTATTACATCAATTCCGCCCACATAACGTCCTTTGTGAGCGAGACGTTGAAAGGAAATTATAATTTCCGAATACTTATAGCTCGTGCAGATCTTAATACTCAGCAACGCTGTAAGGACAATTCTCTATGGTATTTTTCTAATTTAATCTAACTTCATCTTTCAAGTACTATTTTTTCCATCCTTTTACTCAGTTAGTACTTGAATCTAGTATCACATCTAGTCTGGAACTTGGAAAAAAGTTGCCGAAATCAGGTCCATTCTAGGTCGTCACGGAAAAAAACACTTCACAGTGTCAACTAATGTCCCAACTAAGGCCGAATGGATCTATATCTCATTAAAATAACATTCCGAATTGTATAACTATTTTGTACTTACATTCCTTATATA